TATGAGAAATAGTTACAGAAATTAGAAAATAGTTAACAGGAGTAACCATTCCTTACTCCATAGACATTCTTTGGTGCAGCAAACTCTTAGATCCATTATTATCTAAAATAAATTATCGATTAGCAATTATATTAAGGACAAACGATTTTAGCTTGCAAACTCATATGATCTAAAACATGGTCCTCCAAATTAGGGTTATCATAAAACATGGTTCTCCAAATTAGGGTTACTGTTTTCAATTATAATAATTGAATAAAATCTAAAAAGACTATTACCATTAATTCGAGTATATCTTCTTAATATACAACAAAGAACCTAAAATAAAAATGTTTAAAAGTAACCAAACCAAAATAGTATAGATACAGAAAAACTCAAATTACGTACCAATACAATGCTGAAACTGCAGAACAAACACACAAAAAATTATAAAAAATAACACGGCTATCGTTAGTAATCCATATTGTAAAATCAGAAACAACATAGCCAAAAATTATGAAAATAGTAAATAAAGATATATAAAGACTAACGTAAGATTGATACGATAACCTGTAAATAAGAAAACAAATAACGATACACCACAGTAAGAAACCACATGAAATCTTAACACTCGGAGGTAATATCAGAGGTGAGAAAAGAATTAAAATATCATACCTAAAAATATCTCTATATATAGAACATGAAACAATATTAATCAAAACTAAATTCCATACCTTGGTAAAGAACGATACAAATTGGGCCTAAGCAGAGTTAATAGAATTAGGCAATTGTGTAGCCTAAATCATTGAATTGCATTACGAATCATCCTTAATATTATATGTAGTCATTACTCATTAACATGTATGTAACAATAATGGAAGAAATAAAAAGTGTTACACATAAATCTGGGAAACTCAATGATTTAGTACACCGAAATTTAACCATAAAAAAAAAATCATTATGATATTGGCGTGAAATCGTTAGAAAAACTACCATTAGACGATAACAGATGCAAATTGATAGTATATCAGTACAGCTATTGGCGTGGTTATGTACAAAAAAAGGAAATCTGGCAAGAGTAATACATAGCAAACACAGAAAAACAATCATACCTCAATATAGAGGATGAAATCTGGGAAAACAAAGGTCAAAAGAGCACCAATCAAAATTGTATGATATATATCGGAACAAAACTTTAAAACAACGTTAAGAAGAATTACTTTATAGAAAGAGCCAAAATCTGGAAAAAAAAAATATAAAATAAAAAAAATCAATAGTAAAATCTGGAACAAAACACAAAAATAAAGAAGAATCGTTACAATAGCAAGAAGAAGAACAGTAGTAGATCAAAAACCCTATTTATGAAATACGCATGAACATCAAATATTTGATATATATATAAGAAATTTTAGAATCAGTTGCTAGGGTTAATTTTTTAAACCGACCATTAAAAAGGTAAATATAGCTTTTAGGCATTAAAAAGAGCTCATGGGCCACGTAAATATCATTTAACAAATCAATTCTTACATATAATTTCGTTGGATTAATAAATATATTTTAGCAAAAAAAAAATGATGGAAAGGGCATGTAATTTAAGCATTTTTAGAGGGTATCCTTGTAATTAACCACTTTCAAAATTGATAGGAAACTGCCACGTAAGATTTTTTACTTCACATATAATAATATAGATAGATGGCACTCGTAAACGTTGGCACGGCTCTACTACAGTCCACAAAGAATTATGGATTAGAAGACAGTTAGGTATTCGATTTTTTTTTTCAAAACTATGTCTCCATCTCCACAACACACACCAACCATATATAACCCGAGTTTTTTTTTTTGAAAAAAGTATAACCCGAGTTTTATACCTAGACAAAACTAACCGGTATTCTAGCGACAACAAAACAGAACTCACAACTCCTACAATTCGAAACGGACGAGATTTCAACTTCCGGTGACCGGTGCCGGAACAAACTCTCGTCGAAAACAAACGTTTCGAAGCTATCTCTTTCCTTGATTTTTTTTTCCCCATAAAAAGAAAAGTGAAAAGTTGTATCGATACAATTTGTTTCTTTTTAAAAATTAATTGTTAATGGCATATAATGTAATGTTAATAAGCACGATATGTCTTGCAGGTAACTTTGCTTACCACGAGGCAATGGTTGTGTGGTCTGCAACCAAACCATTACACGACACTGCTACCAACCCAAATCATCTCTCTGCTTTGAATGATTTTGTTCTAAACTAAAGTTACATCTATTGTAAAAAAACTTTTTTTCTTTAAACAATGATTTTACATTTATTCAATTTTTTTTTTTGTAATTTTAACCTATATATTACTATGGGATATATGTCTTTCACTAATTTGGTTTTCAGTGTTATACGGAAAGGAGTTTAGTTTAGTAATAAACCATAATTTATAGCTCATTCTAAATTATGATTCT